CACTCACAATAAGTTAACGAGTGTTATAATTATTATTAATATCATTATATTATTTCTAGCTCAGGTGAAATCCAGCAGCAGTTCATTTGAATCGTATATTTACAGTGTGAGTACCGTGTGACAGGAGAAAGACTCACACATCTGAAAGATTTCCACATGTCCCAGTTTTCCACCAGAATGTAAACGCAGCTGAAAACTCCACATGCACATGTAACCTGACACGTGCACACGCAGTTCACATCCTGTGAATAATCAAAACATGTCTCAGGTATTTTAGGAAACTTTTCCACAGTGAAATGAACAAATGATAAATTCATGTTTTAAACACAATAATATTAAAGAAACACTTGTGACTTTTTTAAATTCAGACACAAACGTTCACATGTATTTAAATATGTTTGGACATTTTGTGTCGTATGACTAACGTCAATTTCTCCTCAAGTTTTTCTAACACAGTTGAGTATAGAACTTAATTAATCAACGCATATATTCTATTTTTTACTGACCTTTTAAATATTCCCTCCCAGTAAACACTAGTAGATAAATCTCATATTTGTTGTGTTTGTTGTTGCATGTTGTGAACTCACTAGAGTGAGCAGAGGTTAGTGAATGATCTGTAGAAATTCTGCTTTCAGACACTTATCTGGAAAATTAACACAATTCATGAAATAAGTTTCATTTCACGTAAAAGAGACACAGACAGGAAATTTCACTCACTCTTTATTTCACTCAAGTTATAATAAACAAAAGACTCAAACAAGACTCGTGGATATCGTGTGTCTCCACAATGAAATCAGACTTTAACATGTATTAAACATTCACAGTCAAATCTACAGTCAAAGAACTGTGTTGGTAAAAAGTTCAGCAGGTCACTGGCAAAATTTAAAGGCTCACATTTGTGTTTCTAGATTAATGAAAGAGTCTCTAACGCTGAGACATTAAATGATAAAATGTCTAATAAACTAATAACCACAATATTATTAATCAGCTGTTGGGGAAATAAATGTCTGGATTTAAATCAATTTAATAATCCTGGAGACAGAATGACTCAAGTTTGAATTTATAATTCCTTCATAGGTTAATCACTCTCTGGTTTTTTACCCAGCAGCCACTTAACTTTGTAGTTTATTTAAAAACTTTCACCTCCGCTTCCACATCAGGGTCATATAAAGTTTGTTTTTAAATATTTATTCAAGTTGTAAACATAAGGAATAGAAACTAGCGCTCCTATTTGAAACACGTGACAGAAGCTTACATCAAGGATGACGGAGGAACGTACGAAATTCCTTTAATGACACAAAAATAACGTTAATAGAACAAACGAGGCTCGTTTACGCTGCTTTTACGTACGAAAGAGAATTGTTAGTTTCAAACGAGGTCACCATCCCTGCCCACAGGTTCAGGTGTCATCATGTTGTTTAGCATAGACATCGTAACCATCCTTCAGTTTCTCATCTCAAAGTTCCACCTTGGTTGAAATGTCTTCCTCGTGTCTTCAGACCGTCTGAACTATCGGCTACGCTGCCCCCTCATGATTTCTAATGGAACTGCTCTGTCTCGTTTGTTTCGTGCGCATCGGTAAACTTTCGAAGGATGAGCACAATCTGGATGGAATGACGGCAGAGTGCGGACAGAGGGTTCTGTAAGTTTGCGTATTTAACGCTGAGCATGAATGAAGTGAACCGAACAGATGTGACAGATGTTGAAGGTTGAACTACATGTGGGATTCGCTGTGAGCACGTTTATCATTTTCAAAATCACTATCCTGGGAGATGAGCTTGTACGGTTTCTTCCTCTCCTTCTCCTCCAGCACCGAGTTTCCCATCTCCACGTCTTTGCTGCGGAGCTCGTGTCGAGACAAGAACTCCACGATGCCGGCGCCGATCGAATCCCCCAAGACGTTGGTGGTGGTGCGCAGACGATCCCTACGTCCCAACAGGAAACAGAACCAGGTTCACGACTGTCACAGAAATCATTCAAACACCTCGTGTGAAAATCTGGATTTTTATTGTGATTCGGTTCCCAGGTCAACAGGACTGATGACATCACTGGGAAGAGGAAACACTGCCGACCTCTGCTGAGAGAAGTGGAAGTTATTTTCAGGAGGAATTTTTTTTACAGGTAATTTGTTTCCCACAACTTCCTGAAGGTTTGAGTGGACGCAGCCTGAGTGACAGGATCGTCTCATCATCTAAAGATGTTAGAGGTGTGAGCTGCAGGAACATGATTGACAGGAGTGTGTTCACTGCTTGTTCGGTATTAGAACCTCGTCAGTCTGGTTCTAGTTCCTTGGTCCAGAGTGAGCAGCTGAGCAGACTCATGAACACCTCTCACACTCGCTCCCTCCCAGTTAAAGGAGGGAAGGGAGGTTTCTTCTTATTACCCCAGTTAGCTGAGTAATTTCTGGGGAAGGGTATTCTAATTGAAATGATTAATTTGGGAAACCTAATTATGTTTCTATGTAAAACTCATTGCAAAAAATATTCAATACAAAAGTGAAGATGTGGAACAAGACTCTGGGGAGACGGAAGTGTGTCACTAGGTGGTCGTAGATCCACAACTTTAAAGTGACAGCGAGGATTCACTCATGTGCAGCTGCAGACACACACGGTGTTTGTTCACAGGCTCATGATGTCACACTCACAGAAACCAGTCGACTGCAATGATGAGAGTGATGTCATCAGTCGGGAGTCCAACAGAGGTTAGTACGATCACCATGGTGACCAGGCCGGCCTGAGGGATTCCGGCAGCTCCGATACTGGCGGCTGTCGCTGTAATACTGAGCCGCAGACACAGAAATGAAACAGCGTCCCTGCTCACAGCTCTATCATCTGCAGTTTGGAATATTTTATAATATTCTCACCTTATTGTGATGATCTGGCCAAAGTTCATCTCCATGTTGTTAACCTGAGCAATAAAGATGGCCGCCAGTGCTTCATACAGAGCGGTTCCGTCCATGTTGATGGTGGCGCCCACTGGCAGCACGAAGCGTGTGATTCGCTTATCGATCTTGTTGTTCTCCTCCAGGCATTTGAAGGTGACGGGCAGAGTGGCTGAGCTGAGACAGGACACAGGTCAAGAGACAAGTCTTAGCGTGAACCGTTTCTTAAAGCTCCGAGGTTTGTAGTTACGACGTTTAACTTTGACGTTTATTTTGTGAAGTTCAAATGAACTTCACTTCTATCAAGACATCAGCGCTCTGATTCTGAAGCTGCGTCCACACGACACATTTTCTGTTTAAAGGTAAAACGACCTCTGAGGTTTAGTTCTGACGAATAGGAACCAATCAGGAAGCAAATCACTGTCTCATCATTTCCAGTCGTTGGCTGATCCATAAAGTTTTTACCCTCCTCTGCAGATGATTAACTAGGTTCTGTTTGCATCTTCTCGCCAACGAGCAGAAACTGGTGCAACGTTCACTCCTGTCACTGTCTTATCTAACTGTCCGTACTGAGAATATCGAGCGAGACTTTTATCTGACTGAGACGCCATGTGTCCTGTAATCATCTGCGTATCATCAAAACGGTTTTGAAGCCGTTATTTTAAGGTAGAAACAACAACATTGCTTTAAAAGGTCGACTAGAAACTTCATGTGTGATCACAGCTGATCACAGGGGTTTGTTGGTTTCAGTGTTGGACGGACTCACCTGGACGACGTCCCCAGGGCCGTTACCAGAGCCTGCAGGAGCCCGGCAATGAAGATGAAGGGGTTCTGCCGAGTGATGACAAAATAAAGAGTGGGAAGAATCAGAACGCCGTGGATCAGTAGGCCGATGATGACTGTGATGGTGTACATGCCCAGCTGGCCTCCCATCTGTGTCAGGTCATCCATCTCCACGATCTTTCCCGCGATGAGGAACAGGATCCCAATCGGGGCATACCTGGGGGGGGGGGGGGGGGGGGTGTTACTGAAGGTGTGAGGGTTCCTTCTGTTTCACAACCTTTCCTGAAAGTCTTACCACATGATGATGGCGACCAGGCGCATGATCGCCTCATTGAGGCTGTCGAAGAAATCCCTCAGGAGCTGGCCCTGCTCCTTCATGTTGCCAATTATCAGACCGAAGCACATGGAGAAGACCACCAGCCCGAGGGCATTGACCCCGTTCACCTGACCCGGCACCGGGATCACCTCCTCCCGGGTGATCTCCATGACCTCCTGGGTGCCATTGGTTGAGTTGAAGAGGGTGTCGTTCATCGTCACGGTCACATGGACAACTCGCTTTCCATATCTGGTTTTGAACTGGAGAATTAAGGTTAAAGTTAAAGTTTGACCAGAAAACCTGCAGGTGGACTCACAGTCTGGAGACATAGTGAGGGACAGACAGAGGAGTTAAGAGGTGGACATGTCGTTGAGCAGCCATGTGCTCCTCGGACCTGTGACCTGCAGACTGAGTACCTGTGCATTGTGAGGCTCACCTGCTGAGTGCAGGCTTGGACCAAGTTTGGTGGAAACATGTTCCTGAAAGGAGAAAGGACAGAGATGACGTTGGCTGTTGACCGTCGGACGTCGTGAACGTCGTTCTGTCCTCTGTGTTTTCTACCTGATCAGATCTAAGAAGGCATCAGCAGGACTGACTTGCTCTATCTTCTGTTGCTTTCCAAACTCAGCTTTGGATCCTTTTCCCGGGTGGATGATGAGGACGATTATGATGCCGATGAAGACTGCGATGAAGGTCGTGGTCATGTAGTAGATCACGGCTCTCATGCCCATCTTTCCTGAGGCTTTGCTGTCTAAAGCTGCCATTCCTGACGGACAGAGCGTGACACGTGTTAAAGCCTCCGCACAAACTGAAGTCCCAAACCTGAATCTCCCCAGTGATGTTTCAGCTTTTCAAAAAGATCACGTGGAATTAAAGTGTCTGGCAGAGACAACACACAACACAACACAACACAACACAACACAACACAACCAATCATGAAACACCTGAGCAGAACCATACAGCAGTGTCAGTGACCCAGGATCAGATTTATGAGATCAGAGACGCAGCGTCGTGGCTGAAAGACTCAGAGCTAAAGTGAGAAATGATCAATAATAAGAACGATTATTGATTGACAGCTCAGTGACATGTGTCCTGTGTTGAACCTGTTATCAGACTGGAGACCAGTAAGGGCAGAACCAGCATCTGAAGCATCCTCATCAGCAGCTCTCCAGGGAACGAGAAGTACTTCACCTCTCGATAGGTCATCTTGTAGGGACGCAGCGCAAATCCCAGAACAATACCTGCAGAGAGGGGAACGGGGGAGGGGCTGTTTTTAATATGCATGTGCAGCGACATGACTCTGAATCACGACAGGAACCAAGTCACTCACCCACAACAACTGCCCCAACTGTGAAGAGCACAAAGGCGTTCTTCTTCAGGAAAGCCTGGACGTCCTCTTTAGAGATCTCCTCCACTTTCCTCTTTGCCTTCATGGTGCGTATGTGAACGCCTTCCCTGAGCCGCTGCATCCTGAAGGGAACCACAACACGTGAGACTGAAGCTACGAGGAGCTCAGGCGACAGCAGTCAGGGCTGAAGGCTCAGACATCCAGCTGGTTACTGTGCTGATGTGGTGCTGATATGTTCTCATGCAGGACTCATACATCACACACTCTGATGGAACATTGATGTGCAGACTGGAGAAGCCGGGTTTCAAACCATCAACACTCCAATTAGTGGACGACCCGCTCTACCTCCTGATGTACGGTTGTACATTGAGTTGCTTTTATATTACTGACCTAGTCCACGTCTTTAGTTACTTCTTATTAATGTAAAATAATTCCACTGACAGTTTCTTTGCTGAGCCTGTGGGGGGGCGATTCATGGTGGAGCTCAGACTGTGATGATGGACACGATCCAGGACGTCCACGTCCACAAACAGATCCATGGTTATGAAGGTTTAATGGACACAAGAACATCACTTCAGCTACAGAACAAAAAGCAAAGTGTCTTCACGTACCTCTTCAGAAACTGTTGAGACAGAGCTGAGCAGAGCGAGGTGCAGGTGCAGGTGCAGGTGCAGGTGGAGGTCCAGGATCTCTGTTGGATTCAGGAGGACAGAGCAGGAGGTGGAGGACTCAGAGTGTCCAGGACAGAGTGAGCTCCTGCTCCTATTCTGTAACTGGAAGATAAGGGAGGGGAGACATCCAGAGGAGAGACAGAGAGGGAGGGGGGAGACTGAGAGACAAATTAGAAAATGGTCGTCCCATAATGAGACTGTTAGCCCTGTGACACAGTTTCAGGTAAAATCCAGATGCATGAGAAACTTTGTGGAGCGTTGTTATGAAAATCATCATATTTTATGATAAATGTAAAGTTGGATCTCTCTTGAATCTCCTCCTCTCTTGGTTTCTTCTCCTCATCTTTCTCTTCCTGTTTATTCTTTATTGTTTTCTCATGTGGAGACTCTCAGATTAGTTTCTGGCTTTAACACAAATGAAAGTGATACACATCGTCTCCCAGGGGAGGTGTTATAGTTTAAGGTAATTCCACCGAGTGAGTGACACACCACAATTAGCTGAAAAAAGTAGAACTGTAATAAGTGACCTGACTGTATGGAAACATATTCCCCGGTGATGTGGAATATAATTAGAGAAGAATACTCCTCAAATCAGGTCACGTTGCCCTTTACAAACACTGTCCCCTGGTTACTGGCACTAATGAATGAGAACAAAACATTCTGAAGATTTTACTATATTTTAAAACCTAGTTTATTTCTCACGATGAGTTGATGAGCTGCATTAACATAAAGTTTATAATCCCCATTATCTGATTATCTATGAAACATGGAAGTTCATCGTGTCTGCAGCTCCAGACACAAGAGAGAAACTGTTCCCTCTGTGTTCTGTCACAGGTCGTTTGTCGTGTGCATAAAGTTTAAGTTGATTAACTGACTGAAGGTTTTCTACTGAGAATCATCTGGAGCAGATGGTGCCTGTGTTTTAATCCCTGTGGATTTGTGGGACGATTGTGTTTCTATATTATTGTTCTGTTTATTTTTAACTTTTATACTGATAAGAACCAACAAGTCTGAAATAAAGTTAACTTTTGTCTCTGGAAGCAGTTGAGGGACAGGGAATCTGACACCAACGTTTTTCTTCACATTATTTAATTGATTTGTTTAAAAATCATTTCGGTGTTTTTGGGTCACAAATGAGACTTTGACTCTTCTAACAGACTGGATGTTAACACATGATGTCCAATTAAGGAAACACTTAATTGATAAATTAATAATTAATAAACACTTAGCTGTTGTTTGTCTCTAAATCTTACAGTAAAAAACAGTCAAACATGGAATAACAGACGTGCAGCTCGAAACAACAAACCAAACTAATGTAGAAATGCACGAAAGCACCAAACTTAATTCCAGAGAGAAAGAGCTCAGGTTTCACTTGATGTTCGAGGATCTTCTGACCTCTGCTGGCTTCAGATTTGTTATTTAATGATGTGATTTATTTATTGGGAACAAACTGAAGGTCGGCCATGTTGTTGGCTCTAAGCTGGTCTCCATGGACTTTAACACTTCAGCTATTTATGCACATTCTACTGCTGTGCTTTAGAGTATTTCATTTTCATTGACAGTTTTTATCATTTCTTCTCGGATTTTTATTTTTCATGATGTGTTCTTTTATTGTTTCTTCTTGTAATATGTCTTCTTGTGTTTTCATGTGTATTATGTCATCAGTGTACCTGCTGCTGTGACAACTTAATTTCGCTCATGACGGATTAATAAACATCCATCTATCTATTAATAATGTTATTTTCTCCGACTCTTTCCTGGGCCAGTGAACACACCAGCGTCACTCTGACGTCAGAGAGCTAGCCAATCAGATTCGCCGATACGTGCGTAGCATACGTAACGTACAGGGGGGCGTGTTCGCTGTTACGTACAGTTTCTAGTCAGAGTGGTATTCACGATCATTCTGTCGCTGCGCCCGCTCCTGCGAAGTGTCGCGGCCCCGCGGTGAGACCCGGAGCCTCGGTGTTTCCTGAACCCTGACCGCGGCCGGAGGGCGTGATAGGCGGGCTACTCACTCACGAGTTGTGGGCGCGCTGCTAGCTACTTTTAGCTTTGTAGCCTCGGCTGGTAAAATACCGCGTCTGAACACGTAGTTAGTTAAAGAGTTAGTTAGTTAGTTAGTTAGTTAGTTAGTTAGTTAGTTAGTTAGTTAGTTAGTTAGTTAGTTAGTTAGTTAAAGAGTTAGTTAGTTAGAGAACTAGTTCGATCCCCGGGGAGGAACTTCCCCCAGCGGGTCACCTCGGAGCCGGGAGGCTCCGGAGCAGCGTGGTGACCTTCCGGGCAGCCGGACAGTGTGAACGGACCAGAACGGAGCCCTGACATGTCGGTACCATAGACGGTCGGTACCGAGCCGGACCCAGCGCCTGTGAGCGGACATCGTGTGGAGCTCATGCCCGTCAGGATGGCTCGTCGCTCGGCGGTGAGCTTGGTGAGACTCGGGGGTCGAGTCGTCGGGCAGCTGCTGTACGGAGGCTCCGCTCGGCCCCGCCACACTTCGGCCGCCGACTCTGCTTCCAGACACGGATTCAAACCGGAGAAGGTGGCGGTGGTGACGAAGACGACCCGGTACGAGTTCGAGCAGCAGCGGTATCAGTACGCGGGACTGTCCGAGGAGGACCTGAGACAGCTGGTAGGACCATGTCACTGTTCGAACCCCCGGCTCTGACACACACACACACA